GGATTCAGAAAATTTATGCCATGTTGTTGAGTAAGGTTTCTGGCAGTTCATCTGAAAAGACTTAGAGCCATGAAGGAAAAGCACAGTATTAGAAGTCACTCAGAACTTAGCACAGGGATCGGGGTCTTTCACACCTGTATGATCTTGGGAACTTTGCTTAACCATTTTGAACTTTAATTTCCTATTCTTGAAACAGAAATAATAATTATCTGCAGAAATCTTGAATTCGTGCGAGCCATGATATTTTTGATAGTTTAGATTTTTGTCCCCCTTTCTATTTATTTCCCCTTCCTCCTCTCTCTATTCAAGTTTCTAGCATGTGCATTTCCATAGCTTGTGTGAATGAGGGGGCAGAGGAGACAACAGAAAGCATTCAGAATGTCTGAAATTCTTTCTCATAACTTTAAGCCCTAAGGGTGCTGAGGGGAGTTGAGGTACAGAAGAATGTGGAGGAAAACACAGAAAGCAAATCTATCTCCCCCTGTCAGACAGGATGGGGTAGGGGAAGGGCAGTCTGTGAGATTAGGTTGATAAGTGGTTCTAAGGGGTCCTGCCCTCTGCCTCTCAGACAGACACCAGGGAGGAAAGCAAAGTCCCAGAAAGAAGGGCTGCTTGGAGGGACTAAGCTGAACATCAGGGAGTCAGGAGAGAGCCTGGAAGAGTCTCATTGACATCCCAGGTGGACCATGTCCAAGAGCTGGATTGGTTGATATTGACTGACCCATACGAGTCAGCTGCTTTCTTCTATCCCTCCCTGCTGAAGAAAGCAATATACCTGGTGAAAGGGGAGGACATGGATTGATGAAGGAAAAAAATAGGAGATTAAGACAGAAACTTCCAGTTGGGTTGAATTATTTACGAGTTTAAGATACATTTCTTGACCTTGATTTATTAAAAAATAATTTATATACCGTCTGGCACCTAGATCAATTTATCATGACTATACCTATTCCTGCTGTGCATAGCGTTTGAGTCTGCTCAAAAAGTCAATATTCACTTTTATTTACACCATATTAACATCCAGTTCAGGTAAGATAAGGATCCTACAGTTATCAGGAGTGAAGTGTGGGATCCACTTTGCGTACCTGGTAAAGAAGGTTCATGTTGACCCCTGTGGATAGGAAAGAGCAAATCCAGGAACCAGACACTGAATGGTTAAAATAATGAGAGCTGTGAACACTGAATAAGGGAAGACTGAGGGGGAGATGATAGCTGTCCTCAGATATTTGAAAGACTTATTGTGGAAGATAGAATGTCCTTGTTCTGAATGGAAGCCGAAGCCATGAATGTTAGATTCAATCAATGGAAAGAGGAAGTTTCTCATAGTTGAGTGTTCATCAATGTTAAGGGATTCAAGCAGATGTCCAATATTCATTTGCCTGGAATGTTCTCAGAAGATTCCTGTATGCAGAGGAATGTGGTCCTGGCACTTCAGTTCTAGGATGAGATGATATGTGGGGCAGGAGGAGGCAACTGATATTACCAAATTCCAGGAAATTCACTGAATGCTCTCTGTCCTGAGCTCATTGAATCTGTCCAAAAGCTCTGTGAGTTAAACATTCTAAGTACAGTTGTTGTGATTTTACAAATCAGTCTACAAATACACAGTTACACTGCTGACTTCATCATATTGGTAAATTTCAGGGCCAAGGTTTGAACCCAAGTGTATTGCGTTAAGAGACCCTGTACTTTCTACCAGACACCCCATTTCCTTAACATGCTTTCACAAATAAAGAATAAATCCTTAGTTTGAGGATAGAACTTTCAAAATATACAGATGTTGCTAACCTAACTGACCAAGGACAGGCAAAGGCCCATTCAAATATTTCTGCTGTGATTCACATGGCTGAATAAAAATATCAATGCATAAATTATGAACATAATTGATATTAATATATAATATATGTAATGGCACATGAAAATACTTTCCTATCTTCTCAAAGAATGCCAACTGACTTTGGTTAATGTAATAGTTAATTTGGAATTTTTAAAAAATATTTTTTAGCTGTTGCTGGACCTTTATTTTATTTCTTTATATGTGGTGCTGAGAATCGAACCCAGTCTCTCACACATGCTAGGCAAGCCCTCTACCACTGAGCCACAACCCCAGCCCATAATTTGACACGTTTACTTGGCTTAGTCATGCTGTTTAGGTAGTTGGTCAGAAATCATTCTGGATGTTTTTATGGAGGTGTTTTTTGGATGAGATTAACACACACATCAGTTGGTTTTGCATAATGTCGTCCAGATTCATTTACGTTGTCAAATGATAGCATTTCCTTCTTCTGTATGGCTAAATAGTATTCTATTGTGCATATATATGCATAAAAGAATGTGCTATATATATATGTATATATATATATAATGTAATTTCTTTATCCATTCATCTGATGATAGACAAAAAAACAATACCACATGATCTCATTTGTATGTGAAATATAAAACAGTTAAACTCATTAGAGAGTAAAATGGTAGAGGGTGTCAGTGGGAATGGGGAGAAGTTGGTCAAAGAACATTATGTTTCAATGAGACAGGAGGAATATATTTTGAGATCATTTGCATAACATGTGACTATAGTTAATAAAAATGTATATTTCAAAATTACTGAGAGTAAATTTCAAATGTTCTCACCACACACACAAAATGATAAATATGTGTGGTGATGGATAGATTAATTAACTTGAGTTAATTATTAACATTGTATACATAAATCAAGATATCAAGTTGTACCCTATATCAACATATAACTTGTCAAAATATAAAACAGAAAATAAAATTTAAAAATACTCTAAACAATTATTTTAAAAGCCGATGGACTTAGTCAGGCATGGGGGTACACACCTATAATTCCAGTAACTTGGGAGGCTGAGGCAAGAGGATCACAAGTTCAAAGCCAGCCTCAGCAACTTAGTGAAGCCCTGTCTCAAAATAAAATAAATAAATAAAATAAAAAGGGCTAGGTTTGTGGCTCAGTGGTTAAGCACCCCTGGGTTCAATCTCTGGTACCAAAATAACTACAACAAAACCAAAACAAAACAAAAATCTCAAACCAATTGACTTATAAAAAAGTTATCTTTAATAAGTCAGGAAGCTTTATCCAATCATTTGAAGGCCTAACAGAACAAACACCAACCTCTTTAGAGGACATAAGAATTCTGCTAGCAGATGGCCTTCAGGCTCCCCTTGCACCTTTTCCCTGAGTTTCTAGCCTGCTGGCCTCTCCTAACAGATTTTGGACTTTCACCTCCACAATAGCCTGAGCCAATTCCTTAAAATAAATCTAGGTACATATACACACAAAGTTGGTTCTGTTTTTCTGGAGAACATTGACTAATGCAGATATATATACGTATACACACATATCTATCTATCTATCTATCTATATATCAACTATATTTAAAATTATATTTAAGAATATGGAAGCAGATCTTTCCCCAGTCAAGCCTTCAGATGATACCATATCCTTAAATGTTACTTTGCAGTCTTTTGAAAGACACTGAGCTCATCATTTCACTCACAAAACTGTGAAATGATGTCACTTTCAAGAAATTCTGAGTAGAACTTAAGAAATTTCTTTGGGACAATGTGGTATAAGAGACCAACTTGAATTGGGAGTTTGGGGACCTGGGCCATAGCCCCTGGTTACTTCTAACTGGTTTGTGCAGACCTTACATCTATCTCTGGGGTTCATAGTAACAGAAGCTTGGTTAGAGAACTTCAGCTTTCCCTTAAGTGCTACAATGCAAAGTCTCTATTAATCCTGTTTATTCATCAAAATAAATACTGATAAAAGAGACAAGTAGAACACACCCTGGTCAAGCCCCTGGATTTGGTGGCAGAGGTCCAGTTTTCTTTCTGCCTGTAACTGTCTGTTCTCAAGTCCTGTTCTTTTCTCTCCACCCCAACATTTTTTTTTATCACTAGCCAATCAAAGATAAATAATCTCTATGGCACGTCTGGGTATGGCCTGTGCGTGCCTGCATTTGAACACGTTGGGCAGGGTAGGCTGTTTCTGGCTCTGGATGTTCATACAGATCTGGCACCCGAAGGTTTGTATCTAGTATTTTATGAACTAGCTCTGATAATACACAATGGGAAGGGACTCTCTTACAAGTGTCAGCCCCTTTTCTCTCTTCTTGGCTCCAAGGGGAGGTGTCCATATCTTTAGTAGGGCAGCTACTGTATAGGAGCAACAGGCAGGTAGCAGTAAGTAGCTGGATTCGCATTGGCAAATTAATACTGCTCAAAAAAATGTGTTAATGTTTTCCCAAGTCCTTGTTAATATACCTTCATTTCTTTATTATTTTTTTTGAAAGGTGGTGGGGAGGGGGA